GTCTCGTCGGCCTCCGCGTCCGTCTTGACCCCGTCCGTCCCCGCAGCCCTCCTCGAGCCCTCGACGTCGGCGTTGGCGTCGGCGGTGGGGGAGGCGGAGTCGCCCTTGAGGTGGTCCTCGTGGCTCGGCAAGCGCGGAGCGGCCTGCCGCGGCGGCGGCGAGGGCAGCCGCGACGCTCCAGCTGGGCAAGCCCCGCCAGCAACGTACGGCACGCGCCTGAACTGGCCTCCACGGCCTCGCTCAGGAGGGGAGCAAACGCGCCCCAACCGCGCGGCGCCGGCTCGCCGGCGCGTGGCCGCGCTCGCGAAGGGCGCGAGACGCGTGCGGCGCGCTGAGCGCGACCGAAAGCAGAACTGGCAGCGCGCGCGCGCGAGAGCGCCCGCGCGAGCTGCACGGAGCCTGCGGAGCCAAGCCCGTGCGTGCGGAGGCGCGAAGCAGGTGGCGCAGTCGCCGACGTTAGGGCCAGCGTCGGCGCCGGCGGCAGTGTGGGCGCCGGTGCCCGTGCAGACGTCCCTGTCGGCGTCGGCGTTGGTCCCAGCGCCTGCGCTGGTATCGGTGCCGACGCCGGCTCTCGCAGCGGCGTCGGCGCTTGCGCCGGCGTCGGCGCTGGCGTTGGTTTCGGCGTAGGCGGTAACGCCGGCAGCGCCTGCATCGGTAGCGGAGGCGTCGGCGCTAGCGTCGGTGCTGGCGCTGATGTTGGCGTAGGCCGTGATGCTGGTGCCGACCTCAGCGAAGGCGTTGGTGCTAGTGCTAGGTCCCACGTCAGGGAACCCGGCGCCATGCTTGGACCAACCCATAGCCCAGACCTCGCCGGCCACTGAGCTGGCGTGGGCGATAGCGTCGATGTCGGCGCCTGCGCCGGCAGCCGAGGAGGCGGCGGTGCCCGCGCGGCCCTCGGAGCCGATGGCGTTGATGCCGGCATCGGCGGTGATGTTGGGAGCGTTGGCGCTGGCGCCCGTGCTGGCGGCTGCGGAGGCGGCAACGTCCTCATCGGTGTCGGAGCCGGAGGTGCAGTCGTCGGCATCCAGCCTGGCGGCGGCCCCGGCGTAGGCGTCGGCCCTGGCGCCGTCGCTGTCGTTGATGCCGGCGCAGGCGGGGGCGTCGGGGGCGGCGGCGCCGGTGTCGTAGGTGGGCCCGGTGCCAGCCTGAGCGTCGGCATCGATGTCGGCGTCGGCGCTGGCGTCGGCGTTGGCGCTGATGTTGGCGCCGGCGGTGACGACGGTGCCGACGACGGCGGCGGCGTCGGTGCGGGGGACGGGGCCCTCGTCGGGGCCCGCGGCGCCGAGCCTGGTCCAGTCCATGTCCCAAACCTCGTCGGCCTCCACGTCCGTCTCGGCCTCGGCCGTCTCCGCGGCCCTCCACGTGCCCGCGGTGATGCTCACGATCCCCTGCCCCCCGATGATGGTGCAGGCGGCGACATCGGTGACGAAATCGGCGGCGTCGTTGGTGCCGGAAACGGGGCCCCTGTCGGTGCCCGCGGTGCCGTGCGTGGTCCAATCCATGTCCCAAACCTCGTCGGCCTCCACGTCCGTCTCGGCCTCGGATCCGATCTCCATGAGGCCCCGCGCCTGCTCCGCGGCGGGGTGGCGGCGAGCCCCCACTAACAGTTGCTGCCCCACCTCCAGGGCCTCGTGGGCCTCGCGGGGGAACTCATCGCGTTCCAACCGCGCGACCTCCCAGGTCTCGAGCACGTCCGTCAACCGGTACTGCTTGGCCTCCGCTGGCGCCCCTCCCGCCGCCACGGCGGCTGCCCGCTCCGAGCGGCGCCTCGCGAGCGCGTCTCTGGCGCCCTCAAGGGCCAGCGCGCGCCGGCGCAGCCGTGCTTCCAGCTCGGGGCCGGCCCCGCGCCAGAGATCCGGAGCCGGGTCTGTGCCTGCGCGTGCATTGGCATCGATGCTGGCGAACGCGATGGCGTTGGTGCTGGCGCGCTGGCCGCGATCGATGTTGGCCTCGGCGCTGGTGTACCCGCGGGCGGCGGCGCCGGCATCAACGCAGGCGCCGGCGCTGGCGGTTGCGCCGGCACGGGTGCCAGCGCAGTCGCCGTCGTTGGGGTGGGCCTCATCACTGGCATAGGCACTGTGGGCAGCGCTGCCATAGGCGCTGGCGCCGGGGAGGACGCACGAGGCGCTGTCGTCAGCCCGCTCGCCCTCGCCCGCGCGTCCCCGCCCAGGCATGGCCAGGCCGCCGTCCTCGTTCAGCCCGGCTGGACCTCCCATCGCTGCCTCGCGGATGACGATCCTGTGAACGATGGTGGGGCCAGACTCGTCGCACTCGCCCCTCGTAGCCCATTCCTGCTGAGAAGCGCTCTGCGTGAGGGGGATGGGCCCGCCGATCCACATGGGGTACTTACGCTCGGGCGGTGCCGCGATCTTGATCCTCATCGTCGAGGGCGCCAGGGCGGATAGCTCCTTGTTCATGCGCTCCCCGATCCCGGCGAACAGGGTGATGCCGCCAGACGGAAGCGTGTTGGCGTAGAGGTCCCTGCGGATGTCGACGTCGCACTTCATGATGGACTGGAAGGGGGTCTTGTGGTTGCCGCTGGCTTCCCTGCCGGTGAAGCTGGGCTGGAATAGCACCTCAGGGCAGCGGGCACGCTCGCTGCCCACGGTGATGAAGCTGCCGCCCGGAAGCTCGTACGCCTTCTCCTCGTCCCCAACCTCGGTGGCAGCCTGCATCTCAGTGTCGCAGACGAGGGCAACGTAGCAGAGCTTCTCCGTAACGTCAGCGACCTTCATCAGGTACCCCGTGAGGTCGCGGCCGGCCAGGTCAAGGCGCAAGATGGTGTACGGCCAGGCATAACCCTCGTAGATTGGCACCCCACGCGACACATCGGCACCCGAGTCCGTCGCGATACAAGTGGCAGGGCCGGAAGCGTGCAACGAGAGCACTGCCGGGATGGCCTCGTACATCGCGTAGAACGTGTGGTGCCAAATCTTCTCCCTATCGTCGCAACTCGTCACGATGCCGTGCTCGATTGGGTACTTCAGCGTCAGCACGCCGCGCCTGCTCTGCGCCCCGTCGCCCACGTAGCCGTCGTTCTGGCCCACCCCGACCATGATGGCCGATCCGAGCGCGCCGGCGGAACCGACCGCGCCGCCCCGCCACGGTCCCCCGTCGGCTGGGGGTTGGCAGACAACCTCGGTCGGGGTGCGGGCGTCCTCCTGGAGTGCGGTCCTCCTCATCCTCCTCCGCCTCCTCGTCCTCGCTCTCGGGCGGACCTCCTCCCTCGCCGCTCTCTCGCCATCTGCCGGGCGGAAGGGGGTGGGATTGACCGCCGCGCGGCCCCCCGTCCCCGCTGGCCCAGCGGCCGGCGCCTTCGCTGCCTGCGCCTCTTCAACCTTCTCTCCTCCTACGCCGCCTACTCCTCCTCCTCCTCTGCCGTCGACCCCCTCGGTCGTCGCGAACACGCCAGGCTCGCGCGAGGGCGGCGGGACCGCCTCCTCGGCCTCATCATCCCCGACGGCGCGTAGCTCCGCGACGAAATCCGCGGTGCTGACTCCTGCCTCGCCCCCCGCCCCTGCGGCAGCCTCGAGCTCGTCGATGCGGGCCCGGAGGTTCTCGGCGCCTGTGGCCCCCAGCTCGAAGCTCGTCGTCAGGTGGTCGACGATCGCCATCAAGGTGGCGACGTGCGCGCGGCTCCTCGCCAAGGTCTCCTCGGCACATAATCTGCGCGCCCGCTCGTACTCGCACGCCTGGCTCATCCCTTGGACGAGCCTCTCGGCTATCATCTGCCGTGAAACGCGCTCTCGCCTCCGTCGAGTCGCCTCCTCTTCGTAGGCCTGGCGCCACTCCTCAGCACCCACGGCGGCCCGTGACCGCTCTGCCTCCAGGGCGGTGCACCGCGACCGGGCCACGGCCAGCTTCTCCCCGGCGTCGAGCGCCTCGGTCGCCCAAAGCTGCAGGTTGGTGCCCTTCTCGGCCAGCGCAGCCTCCATGCGGCGATGTCGGCACTCGGCTCCCAACACGCAGCGGGCCAACCAACCAGCGGCCAGCCAGCCGAGGCGAAGCAAGTCGAGGCCCAGCCCGCTGCTCCCAGCGCCCCCCACGGAGCTGGCCGCCGCGCGGCTTCGCTCAGCGACGGGGAAAACCGGATCCACCGGAGACGGGGCCTCGCCAGCGCCCGAACCGTTGCTCTGGGCTGCCGGCTGGCCGGACGGTGTCAATGGAGGTCGCTCCGAAGGATCCGGCGCGGCGGGGCTACCCGTAGGTTCGCCACCGCCCCTGCGCCCAGGCCTCTGCCTCAGGGGGGTCGTCGAAGTCGTCGTAGTCGTGGCCGTCGTAGTCCTGGTCACAGCCCGCCGCGCGGACGCCCCCGTCGTCGTAGTCGTAGTCGTCGTGGCACCAGCCGGGCGCACCCCAGGGGGCTTGGCCGGCGGCCCTCGCCCCTTCCCTGCCGCGGGCGCAGGCTTGGCGGGCGCGCCACGCCCCTCGCCATGCCCACCACCGCCCGCTCCGGGCGCAGGCTTGGCTGGCGCGCCGCGCCCCTCGCCATGCCCACCACCGCCCGCTCCGGGCGCAGGCTTGGCGGGCGCGCCGCGCCCCTGGCCATGCCCACCACCGCCCGCTCCGGGCGCAAGCTTGGCGGGCGCGCCGCGCCCCTTGCCATGCCCACCACCGCCCGCCGTCTGAAGATTCGGCCCGGGCTTGGGTAGCGCCGTCGGCGCGGGGGCCCCAACGCCCGCCGCGCGACCATAAGGCCACCAACCCATCGCCCCCTGGGCCGACCAAGTAACCATAACTGCCAAGTGCGCCATCAGGAAGCCCGCCGCCATGGCACCGCTCCGCCCCGCGCCAGCGACCCTGGGTCGCTAGCGCGAGGATGCCAGCAGTCCCCGGACTGCAGCACCGCGGTTGTGGCCGCCCCGCGGCCCCCCTGCCCACCCGAGTCCTGGCTCGAACTCGAGCCAACGACTACGGACCCAAAATGGCTATGGCAAAGCCCCCGCTTCCCTACGCTTAACCTGCAGTCTACCAACATCACAGACTATACAATCTTCAACCTGGACGCCCGTATGCGCAACTTCACCTCCACGGGCTGCGCGAAACCACGGCGCCGCCCTCGTCCTCCGCCAGCGCCCGCGCCTGCGGGCGATGAGGCGGCGATGGGGGAAGGATGCGCTAAATGGGGAACGTGTCTTGCTGGAGCCTCCAAGAGGCCCCCCAAAGAGGCCCCGTCCAAGATGCTTCATTGCCCCCGACCAAAGGCACGGTGGCGGGATGGGCCGAAAGACGCTAGATCTGAGGCCTCCTGGAAGTCCTTCGGGGCTTCTTCGGGGCCTTTTGAAGGCGTTTGGGGTCTTCTTGGGGACCCTAGAAGGCTTGCTGGCAGTCTTATCCCCATATCCTGCCGCAGCCGCAGCGGGCGCAGCGGCAGCGCCCCCTCCTGCTCCTCCTGCCGCAGCTGCGGCGGGCGCAGCGGCGGGGGCGGCACCCCCTCCAGCCGCATCGACGGCGAGGGGCGCAGGAGGGGCAGGGGGCGCAGGAAGCCCAATGCCGAAAAAAACATCGAAGGGCATGATCCCGAAGCCAAAATTGTTGCTGCGAGGTCGAGGCAGAGGAGCTGGAGGTGGAAAGAGGAGGAGAAGGAGGAGGAGGAGGTGGAGAGGGAAGAGCGAGATAGAAAAGGAGGAGTAGCGGGAGGCAGAATGCGAGGATGATGGTTGGAGCAGGTGAAGAGGACATCGTATAATGTGTAGAGCTTGACGGGGAGGGGCAGGGAAAGGAAGGAGTGGCAGCAGGAAGAGACGAACGAGGAGTTTAATGCGAAGGCGGACAGTGTAAGCATATCTTTTTGGGAGACCTTCGACACCGAGCTGAAGTGTAGCAGCTGTCCCCAAAAAACCATAAGCCCCGTTATCATGCATGTGTACAGTTGGTTGTAGGAGGCACGCGACCCCCAAAGTTTCCCTGGTGTTTCCCCGACCCTGCGCCCGAATGAAATCCCATGCGCAAGGTGAGTTTTACACCCCCTGGATGTCGAGGACGGGCGAAAACCTTGCGTCGCGATGTGTCCACTACGCGAGCATGCCAAGATCTCACGGATCGATCCGCGCCCTGGGCCCAATCTGTCCTCGGCATTTTTCAAGCTGGATCGATCCGTGAAGGTCCTGGGGCCAGAAATGAATCGAAATGAACTCCGAGGGGCCTGGTTGGGGCGGGCGGGTGGGAGACCCCAGAACCAGTCCCCAGGAAAGCCCAGAATCGAATCGATAAGTCGGATCAGCGATCGAGATTAATCGGATCGGCGGAAATTGGTAGCCACGTCGGGAGAGGTCGAACCGGCAGAAATCGGCTGGCTAGCAGGCCTCCATGAAGAAATCGGAACCCAGATCGGAATCCGAAATCGAAGTCGAATCGGAATCGGAAGCCACCGAAATCGAATCGAACCTACGTCGCGGAGCGAAGCGGCGGGGTCGTCAGGGGAGGCATCGGTGTGCCGTGGGGGTCAGCTTATCAAGCCGCCCCTGGTCCTGCGGGAAGCGGATCCCGAGGTTCTTCGCCGCTCCCGGGCTCTCGGGGCCCTCCACGGACCCCCCCCCCGGGACTGTCGGCGAACGGCTCGGGATGAGGATGCCGTGCTGGGAGAGGGGCCCCGGGGTCCAGGGCTCGTTTCCCGAAGGACCCGCTTCCCCCAGGCCGAGGCAGTGCGCTTGCCTTGGATCTCGGGGGGGCCGCTCCTCGGCCCTCGGGGCCTGCCACCCGCGGAGAAGGCGAAGGCGTCCCGCCGCTCCAGCGGCCGCGGCGCCCCCCCACCGCCCTGGCGCCCGTCCTGCGGCTCGACGCGCCAACGCACGTCGGCCCACGCGCCGCCCTGGCCGAACTCCTCGTAGAGCACCGCGCCCTCCGCCAGCCGCAGCCTGTAGTCGAGGAGGAGGAGGAGGACCCACATCTCCGGCGAATTGACTCTTTTAATTCTGACGTTGCTCCTCGATTTCGGCCTGCGGGGCCCGCCATCGGGCCCAAGGACCGTCAACCATGGGCCCCTGGGGAAACCTACACCAGTCGAAGGTGTCGGGAACTCTGGGACCGCGCCCACCGCCAGCCGCAGCCCCGTCAAGGAGGAGGAGGAGGAGGAGGAGGAGGAGGAGGAGGCGGATGCTGCTGCTGCTGCTGCTGATGATGATGATGCTGCTGATGCTGATGCTGCTGCTGCTGCTGCTGATGCTGATGCTGATGCTGATGATGATGATGCTGATGATGATGATGATGATGATGATGTTGATGATGATGATGATGATGGTGATAATGCTGGTGATGAGGATTATGCTGCTGCTGACGATGCTGATGATGATGCTGATGGCGACGGTAATGGCGATGGTGACGATGATGATGATGATGATGATGATGATGATGATGATGATGATGATGATGATGGTGATGCTGATGCTGGTGACGACGATGACGATGATGCTAATGATGATGACGATGATGATACTGCTGATGATGATGCGGCTGAAGATGCTGCTGCTGCTGCTGATGATGATGACGATGATGGAGACGCTGACGATTACGATGGCGATGCCGACAATGATGATGATGCTGACGATGACGATGATGATGATGATGGTGATGACGATGATGATGATGATGATGATGATGATGGTGGTGGTGATGATGATGATGATGATGCTGGTGATGACGATGACGACGACGAGGAGGAGGAGAAGGATCAGGAGGAGGAGGAGGAGGAGGAGGAGGAGGAGGAGGAGGACACGCACCCTGCCGTTGAGCGCGCTTGCTTCCACAGTCGAGCCACGCTAGTCGGCAATGCACAGTGGCACATCCGACAGACCAACAGGACAGGTCGGCTCTGACGACGCACGGCAATATCACGGCATGCCGGGCGAGCCTGGCCTGGGCCATGAACCTAGGCCCCAGGCTGGAGGAGGGGGAGGAAGAGGTGCTTGGAAGACTCCAGTGGAGTCCCCGAAGGTCCTTGGAGGTCACCCCCGAAAGCCTGCAGAAAGATGCAACAACCTGTGCAAGGAGGTCGAGGTTTCGGTCAGGCGTGTCCTCTTACAGGCGGATTTTGGACGACAGAAATCATCACACAGAATCGAACATATTCAGAATACTGACAAAATCGTTCCCAAACAACTTTTGATTATTTTGGAATATTCCTCCTGTAGAGGGACAGGCCCGACTTAAGTCGAGCTGACCACCCTCCGCCTCCGGTCGTGGGTGGCCCTGGCGCGCTGACGACGAAGAGGACCAGGACGAAACAGGAAGAATACGGGAGGGCGGCGGCGACGACGACGACGTCCGAGAACCTCAGAGACCGCTGAGAAACTCCGAGGACCCTCCGAAGACCGTCCGAGGAGCCTTCGAGAACCCTCCGAAGATCCTCCGAGGAACGCCGAGGAGCTCCGAAGACCTTTGAGTGCCTCCCCGAGGACCCTCTGAGAACGTGCGACCCTCCGCGCCCTCCTGTGGCCTCCAGAGGCACCCAGAGGCCTCCAGAGGCCCAGAGGGGCCACGAAAGCTCTGACCTCGCCGTCGATGCCGCCGCCGCCGCCGCTGACGTCCTCGCCGCCGCCGCCGCCGCCGTTGACCGACGCCGTTGGCGTCGTCGTCGTCGTCGTCGTCGTCGTCGTCGTCGTGGTTGTGATCGTCGTCGTCGCCGTCGTCGTTGTCGTCGTCGTCGTCGTCGTCGTCGTCGTCGTCGTCGGCGGCGGCGGCGGCGGCAGCGGCGGCGGCGGCGGCGACTGCGGCGGCGGCGGCGGCGTCGGCGTCGGCGTCGGCGTCGGCGTCGGTGTCGGCGTCGTCGTCGTCGTCGGCGGCGTCGGCGTCAGAACCGTCGCCCGTCATGGGGCGGCGACACATTGGGCCAAACCCGCCCAATGTAGGCCCCCGAACCTCATCCTGGCCTGCTTCTCGAATCGGATCCAGCCGTGGCGACGTGACGCCAACGTGGACGCCGGGAGGTCCCAACCCCTTCCCCGGGACTGGCTGTTCATCCTGAATCGTGTCGTGACGGTCCCAGAGCCCAGTGCAGCCGGACCCACATCCTTCAAGAACGCGAGACCCTCCGTTGGCCAAAATGAAGAGAAAATCCGAGGGTACCCTCCACAGGGTGCACAAGATCATCGAGCAAACACGAAGAACATCAGGGTATACCGTCCCCGAACCGACCTCGATCTTATACCTCGGTCCTGGTGTTGGGGCCCCCAAGGGCAAAATACTGACCCCCCCCCCCTGCTGTGATGTTTGCACACGACCCGAGGCTCACCAAAACCAACAAAGAACTGCCGGGCGAGGGCCGCCGTTGCCCCAACTGGACCCAGATTCTGCGCCGACCCCGAGACCCGACGCTGCGAAAAAGAGTGTGACATCCGAGGAATTCTTGCATCGCCTGGACGTCCATTCCCCATGCATTTTTCGGTTTCGTGCATGCCTGTTTTTGCCTGGTGGTCCAGGATGCTCCTCGATGGACCTCGCCAAAGAAAATGCACACGTCCGAGCGATGCCAAGAGTGACGACCGGAACCCTGCAATCTTGCTGCGCAAGTCTTCGAGCTGGATCTATCTGCGAAGGCCCCGGGGCCCGAAACTGGGCGAAAACGCCGGTTGTGGAACCATGGCGACGCCAGACGTCCTATCTCTTGATGTTGTCAAGACGGGGTCTACAGAAGTCCCGACCCTTTCCCCAGGGCCGGTTTTTCATCCCAATGTCGTTTTGGTACGGGCCTGGGGCCCGGCGAGGGCCCCCAGGGGCCGAAGACGGCGGGAAACCTTCTGGGCCAGGATCTCAGGGGAGCCGTTTCGGATCTCAGGGGAGCGTCGGCGAAGGCGCCTCGCTGGCAGCCGCCCGCGCCGCCCGCGGTCCAGGCACGGGTGGCCCTGCAGCAGCCTCGCGGCCAGCGGCCCGCCGACGCTGCCGCCGCCAGGGCCGCCCTCGAGCGCGTCCCGGAAGAGCCTCTGCCGGCCACCGCGGGGCGCGCGCGGGCCGGTGGGCCCAGGAGGGCGGCGAGGGCGGTGAGGACGGCAACGAGGGTGGAGGAGGAGGCGGAGGAGGGGGAAGGGGAGAGGGAATGGGGGAGAGGACAGGAACGATGATAGAGGAGGGGCGAAAGAGGAGGAGGAGGAGGAGGAGGAGGAGGAGGAGGAAGAGGAGGAGGCGGAGGAAGGGGAGGAAGAGGAGGGGGAGGAATAGGAGGAGGAGGAATTAGGAGGAGGAGGAGGAGGCGGAGGAGGAGGAGGAGGAGGAGGAGGGGGAGGAGGAGGAGGAGGAAGAGGAGGAGGCGGAGGAAGGGGAGGAAGAGGAGGGGGAGGAATTAGGAGGAGGAGGAATTAGGAGGAGGAGGAGGAGGCGGAGGAGGAGGAGGAGGAGGAGGGGGAGGAGGAGGAGGAGGAGGAGGAGGGGGAGGACAAGGAGGAGGAGGGGGAGGAGGGGGAGGAATTAAGAGGGGATCCTGGTGGTGGTGGTGACGGGGGAAAGCAAAATGCAGGAATGACAAGGGCGGGATTATGTGTTACCTGCTGTTTCCCTTCCGCCCCTCTCCGATGGAAGATGATGTACTATTTTTCAGGGGGTGATCTTGCAATGATCTCTGGCAAATCTTCATTCAATGCAGGCTTGACGGGATCTCGACCTCCGGAGACCCGCCGACTCCCCCTGCACTCAGCCGTCTCCGCGCGAGTCTCCCAACGAAACTTGGCGGCGGCACTCTCCGCACCTGGGCTCCTAGGGCGACGGGCAAATAATCGAACTTGCCCCGACTCGGCCCATCGGAACAATTGCTCGCTGATGGCACTCGGCTGAAATACGTGCGGCTTCCGGCATGCTCCTCAGCCTGCCAATGCTCGCCTAGAAGCCACACGCTTGCTGGCGACGGGCTGTATCTTTTGATCAACCCGAAACGGGCGTTGTCATTATCGACGAATCCCAATACGCTCCGCCAGGATGCTTCTCGAAGACACTGGCCCACTTGATCCTCGCAGCCAACATGGGCAGCATCTCGAGCTGGCCGATCAGCTGTTCGTGCCCAGTCTCGCGAGCCAGCTGCTCCATCAAGACACGTGGGATGTTCCCGTGGAAGATTTTCCATCCAAAATAATGCGTCGACGCTCCCAGGGCCTCGGAGGCCGAAATCGAGGAGAAACCTCCGTCTGGAATTTTGCAAGATGTTCGATGTTTTTTTTCCTGGCGGTAGTCTTTCCTCCCGGATCCGAGAGCGGCCCCCCGAGACCATCAACCAGGGAACACGCCTGGATTGCAAAAACCGAATCGTTGGAGATCTGGGTCCGATCGTCATCTTCGTCGTCAACGATCCACCGCGCGCCACGGGAGTCAAGAGCCCGCGTGATCTCCCGCCCCTCTGTATCAGGCCCTGCATGGGGCTGCGTGCCTCCAAGGATCCCATCGACCCGTGCTGTTCTCTGCAGTGAGATGCTGCCGCTGCACATTTCGTTGGGATTGTACTCTCCTGTCAGAGTGCTTCATCGTTGCGGTCGCACAAAAAGGGGCACTAACCAGTGGCATGGTGCAGAGCAGATGTTGCAGGGATTCGTGGAGCTTGTCTCGTCTTGTCATGGTTTGTCTCATCTTGTCTCGTCTTGTCTTGTCTTGCCGTCGTCCCTGGAATCCAACGTTGCGAACAACAATGTAACATCCCGAACAATCACGACCAGAGGCCCATGGACAACATCTTTCTGCTGCATTTTTCGTTCCGGATCAACCTGCGATGGTCCCGAGGCCCGGAGTATGGCAGAACCACCCAGTGTGGAAGAATTGGAACGCCCAAATCTCAGGGGTTGTTGTCGTCGTCGTCGTGGTCGTCGTCGTCTTCGTCGTCGTCGTCGCCGTCGTCGTCGTCGTCGTAGGAGCCACCGTCGCCGTCTTCGTCGTCGTCGTCGTCGTCGTTGTCGTTTTCGTCGCCGTCGTCGTAGGAGCCGCCGTCGCCGTCTTCGTCGTCGTCGTTTTCGTCGTCGTCGTCGTCGTCGTCGTCGTCGTCGTCGTCGTCGTCGTAGGAGCCGCCGTCGCCGCCGGCCTGCACGCGGCAAGGGCCGCGGCCAGCGGGGCGGCCGGCAGCGCCGCCAGCACCTCCAGCGCCACCTCGGGGTTGCCCAGGGCAGCGGCCGCGCCCAGCCATGGGGGTGTGTGGGGCGGCGGGCGCGAGGCGGACGACGACGACGACAACGACCACGACGAAAACAATCGTCGACAAAGACGACGACGACAAAGACGACGACAACACCTGAGATCTGGGTGTGGCAATTCTGTTATGACAGGCGCTCTCGCACGGTTTCGGGCCCGGGGGGGGGGCATCACGGATCGACCTGGACTGAGAAGCGGCGCAAAAAGGTGGAATCTGGGGCTCCGGGTGCTTGTTTCTCCGATGCTGCACTTCGTTCGAGACGCCGAAGCTCAGGGGGCCGCGGGATGACGATTAATACAAAAAATGGGAGAGAACGATTCAAAAACATAGTTTTCTGCTATTTCTGCATAATTTTCTGACTGGAGGAGAACGATTGAAAAATAGTTTTCCAGCCCGCGGCTGGTTTTTTCCAATCGTCATCCCGGGCGCCGCCGCGTGAACACGACCCCCGGTCATTCATTGATATCGTCGTCCTCCATGAAATCACGACGGGAACCCTCTTGCGTTTCTGGGGCCCCTGGGGCCGCCAGAAAACGGCTCGGGATGACAAACTGGCCTTGGGGAAACGGCCGGGACTTCCGGGGAGCCCGCGTTGGACACATCAAGACGCTGGACGTCTGGGAGGCCCCGACAGCCGACGCCTTGCTGCTTTTAGCACGAGGGCCCCAGGAATCCCGACGCTCTCCCTGGGGTGGTGGTGGCTTCTCATCCCGAGCTGTGCTTTGACGGTCCTGCGGCCCTGCGAGGGCCCCCCCGAAGCCGAGCACGGCCAGAAGCCCTTCTGTCGCGAGCTGTTCACGACGAAGGCCGCTCCGGTCGGACCAGGACAAGTTCTGAAGACTCCCCAGAGTTGTGGAGTCGGGGAATCGGGGGGACAGCGAGTCGGGGAGTCGGTCTGGAGGACGGCCCCGACCTGCTTGCGCGGGGAGCAGACACCACAACGTCCGGCCTCCAGCGGGGACGGGCGCTGGGCCCTAGGGGGCCGCCAAGAAGCGGCCCAGAGTCCGGGGAGAGGTCCCGTCCTCTGGGGGCCTACGTTACGAACAAATCACGGTGTCGGATGTCTGGGTGTGGGGAGCGTATAATAGAATAGCGCAATGGAGCTCTGGATCAACAAAAAGCCTCGAGGAAGCTTGGAGATCTGTGCACTGCTTTGGCAGCTGGGCCTCACGCGAGGGCAGCAGCTGGCCTGTCAGGACCACCCGCGCGGCCCCATACCAGGCGGCCCTCCTCTTTGAGCGCGCAGCCTGGGATGTGGGAGCATGTGGAGGATGGATTCCAGTGAAAGGCCCAGGACGCATCAACGATGTTGCAGTAAACCCTCCCTCCAAGTTCCCTCTTCGCAGGTCCCTGCAATTATATATATATATATATATGTATCACGGGGGGTGGCCCATCGAAAGACAACCGTTTGATAATCCTCCAACGTGCCCAAACACAATTCCTGAGACTTCAGCGCCGCGAGGCGAGCCAATGTGACTGCTTCATCTGGACAATCCGAAACCCATTCCGAACACTATTCCTTGGACATCAACAACGAAAGTCAACATGAATGCTGGCTCCTGGCAATCCTGATTCGTACCATAACTCCTTTCTTTGGCTTCCCGACATACGAACCCTTGAAACTGTTGCGAACGTTTAAGGCGAGTGGGCGAGGTGATAAGGCGAGGGGCACACTTTGGAAAGGAACCGCCCTCCATGGTTGAAACTGTTGTGAACTTTCAAGACGAGTGCGCGCGGCGCTAAAGCGAGAACCATATTGGATACGAACCGTCTTTCATTATTGAAGCTGTTGCAAACTTGAAAACAAATGTGCGCGGCGATAACTCGAGAGCCACATTTGGAAGACGGGCCGCCCTCCATCCTTGATGCTGTTGCGGGCTTTTAGAACACATGCATGCGTCGCTGGCGCGAGAGCCAACCGCCCTTCATCCTTGAACCTGTTGCACACCTCAAACTTCATGATTCACAACTTTTGGGAAGTCTTAAGCGGAACGCCCAGCCTGCCCTACCGACACGTGCGGGGTTGCGACAGGGAGGAGTTATCTATAAGGAACAGGGAGGGAAGGGGAGGAGGGGGAGAAAGTGGGTACCTACAGCAGACGGCAGCGTTACTCTTTGCCCTGATGGGCTACTCTGTCTCTCTATCGCTGCCTGCACGTCCTGTTTTGCGCGCGCCGCCTGCTTGATTCGCCAGTCGCTAAGCCTACGTCGGCCTTGCATTTTGTCTCACTGCAGCGCTGCAGCCTCGCCGCCAAAGTCCGACCAACGTAGAAAAGAGGGGGGTACCAGGACCGCGTGAGGCCTGGGCTGGGCCTCCTCGCTGTCAGTCCTCGCCACTGCTCTCTCTCTCTCTCTCTCTCTATCTCTCTGTCTTCTCGTCCTGCCTTGCTCTTGCGCGCTCAAGATAGGCACCGACCTCGCCTATCTTCAGTCTCCGACAAACCGAGGAGGGCGAGAAGGAGGGGGGAGGCGGACAGACGACGAGGACGAGGGCTCTGACAGGAATTTCCAAGGCACCTTCGCCGACTACGAAAGCCTTAAGCTTTCAGAATCGCATTGGCAACCTTTCCCAGGGCTGCACCGTGCCAGTGACCCATTTTCTGCAGTAGGTACTTTCCCAGTTGGCTTACCCATAACTCCCCGCAGCGCCAGCGCCAGGGGGAGGGGGATAGGGAGGTGGAGAAGGGTGGGCAATACTGGGCAGGATGGTGAAGATGAGGCGGAGGAGCTGGGGCAAAGCATGGCCCCGCGCCAGACGGCCTTCCGCCAAGACCGCCTTGAACCGGGACGGCCACAAGCCGCCTCCCTGCGCCCTTCGCCTCCTCGGCACGATGACTTCAACGACACAACCTGGTCATACATGGCATGTTAGAGCAAAGGATCATGGATAACCAGTCCGTGCCCCTGGACAGAGATCATGCCAATGTTTTTCCCAAGGCTACGGCTCTCCTCGTCCCGCCTGAATGGGCGCGGCTCAATCGCCGAGAAAGGGAAATCCAGCCGCGGAGTGGCCCCGCGTCGCGCGGTGCTTGAAAGGCTGACCTGTCGTCTGCTAGGGAGTGGACGCCAGAAGGCCAAGTTCAAGCGCAAGCACACCTGGCGTGATACGGGCTCTCTCTGCACAGCGAGAGCGAGCGATTCCAGTTTCACAGTCGGACCTAGTTCGGTCAGAACAACATTCTCGAAGAACATGGGACCCTCCGCTGGCCAAAACACACAGAACATCCAAGGATATCCTCCCCCCTGGGTGCATAATAACATCCCAGAAACGCGAAAAACATTAGGGTGCTCCCGGAACCGATCTCGATCTTATAACTACCTCGGCCTGGCTGCACTAGGAAAGGCAACTTGAGAAGTAAGTTGCCTCGGTGCACTGCCAGCGCTGAACAACAACAGTCCCGCCGCGCTCCCCTTCTGCTGCGCCGCCTCGGTCGGCGGCGGCGGCGGAGGAGCGCAGCAGTGGGCCCGAGCGCAGGGCAATGGGAAGAAAAAGAGCAAGAGGGATCTGAGGGATCTGATGAGGCGGCCTGCGTCTTCCAGGCCCTGGCTCACAGGTCCGCGGCACGGACCTACGCCGCGACGCATTTTCGAACCGCACTCCGGCGAGGCGACGAGGAAGGCGCAGGGGCGACCCGCGCCAGGGAAACAAAACGGCCCAACGGAGGAGCAGGATGGAGGCTCGAAGCGGGCCTCAGGACGAAACCTCCTGCGGCCGCCCAACGCGCCGCGCCGACCAGACCTCGGTCGGCAGCGTGGCCGCCCCCGTGGCGGCGGTGGGCGCGGCAGCGGGCCTGCGCCAGGCAGAAGCAGCGGGCGGGCTACAGTCCGGCCCTCAGAACTGGGCCTGCCGCGGCTGCCCCGGTGGCCACGCCGTCTGCACCGCGGGCGGCAGCATCGCCGCCTCGCCCGGCGGCGGCGGCGGCGGATGGCGCGCGCCTCCGAGGCGTGGTGGGCGCGGGCTCGGGACCCCCAGGGGCAGCGGCAGTACGGAGGCCGTGGCCTCCGCCTCCACCTCAGGCTGCTGCACCTCGGGCTGCTGGGGCAGCGAGCCACTCGGCGACGCCTGCGCGCTCCTCGAGCCAGCAGCGGCAGCAGCGGCAGCAGCGGCAGCGCCGCGAGGGAGTGCGGCCTGCCTCACTGGCGCCGCCTCTCCCCCATCGTCCTGCCAACGCTCCGGCGCGGCGGCCGGAGCCGCGGGCGCGCCTCGCAAGCCGGTGGCGGAGGCGCCGCCGCCGAAGGGCTGCGTCCCGAGCGACGCATCCTCCGCCGCCTCGGCGGCGGTCGCCAGCGGGAAAGAGGTAGCCTGCCTCCCAGGCGCCGCCTCTGGCGAGACCGCCGTCGCGCGCCGCGAGGTGGGCATCGTGCACTGGGTTTCGACCGTCGGGCGCCATTGACCACTGCTGGTGCCGTCGAGGACGGTGTTCTGGCGGGAGTAGAAGTCGCGGCCAGAGCTGCCGTTGGAGTACTGCGCCCTCCTGTCGGCCGAGCTGGCCTGGTTGTCGAAGCCCCGCTCCGCCAGCCGGCGTAGCTCGAAGAACAGGAACTTCCGCATTTCGACCAGGTCGCTCACCTTCGCGGTGTTGCCGCCGCGCAGCTGGAGCAGCAGTTGTAGGAACTCCGCGAAGGTGATGTACTCCCGCTCCTCGTAGAAAAACAACACATGTCATTAACAGGAACATCGGAGGTCCGCGAGGATTTCTTAGATCGGCGGTGGAAGCCCCTCCCTGGCCTGGCGCGCGGAGCGCGCCAGAGGCGATGCCAGAGGCGCTGCCAGGAGCGTCCAACGCGGATCCACGAAATCCGCGCGGACCTCAGAGAACTTCTGTTCATAACGCATTTTATTATCCGATCCTCGTAGATGTGGTCTATGTAGTCCACCAAGGCGATCGTGTCCACGCCGACCTCGTGCAGCGACTTGGAGGTCTTCGGGTCCATCAGGAACCTCTCGAGCTCAGCAGGGCCGAAAAGGCCGTCCAGGTCCGGGTCAAATCCAGCCTCAATGCCCTCCAGCAACACCCTCTTCACACTCTCCACCTGGTTCGTCTCTTTTTCCACGGAGACAATGACGCCCACGGCCTCGACCAAGACGCCGATCAGCATCCGCCACCGTGCCTTGTGCGCGTAGGAGCGAATTCAAATGCTCTTCTGCTGTCTGATAGGTTGCTGTAATGCTTCCTGGGGCTGTTCCCTATCTTCCTGTCGCGCGCGCCCTTCGAAAACGGCCCCCCCTCTGGGGCCGATCTCTAGCCGTTTCCAATGGAACGTTGCTGCTTGGGAGGGAATTTTGTTCCAGGGAGGCCCCCCAAGGAGGCTAAACATAGATCAACACAATGACTGACAGCCCAACCCAGCCCAAACAGTTTCACTACATACCGTATTACTTTTTGGATAAGCCTTTTTTCCCAGAGAGGGCCTGGCCGCCGGGGGGCAACACAACCCAAACCAGCAACACACACCAAAGCATTTCAAAGAGCAGGCAAGAACACCCCACGACCAGCAAAACAGTCACAGGAATGCCCGACGACAACCAAGTTCGCCCGACGACAGCCAAAAGGCTTCCCATCCGGTTCGAGGACTGCCCAAGAACGCCTCCCGATGCGCCAAGAGGGCCCCAAGATGGCCCCACGACGGCCCAAGTGGCCCCCAAGACGGCCCATGAAGGCTCCAAGAGGAGACCACCTAGAGGCCCTCGACAATCCTAAACACATTGTTTTTCCTGACCATCCTGTGGTTTGTGGCCACGCTTTGAATCCGCAACGCCGCGCCCCACCTCCCTCTCCTCCTTCCCTCCTTCCTCCTACCATCCCTGCCTCTGCTCTCCGCGTGTCCGCTTCGGCACCACACATGTCGTGGCCCCATGGAGAGCTCTTCCGAACGCCCCAGCGGCAGGGTCTGCATGGTGGGGCCGCGCCCATGTCGGCACACTCCTCACACGCTTTGTAGCCCCATAGGGAGCTCCATCGCAAGCCCCAGCGGCAAGGTCCACACGGCGGTGCCGCGCCCATTTCGGCCCATTTCTTTCCAGTGCAAGCCTCCGCGGCAACGCCTGCATGGCGGAGCCACACCCGTGTCGGCACACCCCTCACGAGCTTCGTGGTCCCATAGGGAGCTTCACCGACCGCCCCAGAGGCAAGGTCCGCATGGCGGCGCCGCGTCCATTTCGGCCCACTCCTCACTCGTGGCCTCAGAGGAACTCCATCCAACGCTCCAGCAGCAGGGTCCGCATGGCGGCGCCGCGTCGATTTCGGCACACCCTCACACGCTTCGTAGCCCCAACGAAAGTCCCCAGCGGCAGGGTTCGCACGGCGGCCCCGCCAAATGTCGGCACATTGCCGCGCGCCATGTGCAGCTGCGAGAAACGGCTTCGAATCACATGAAGCTCCGCCGAAGGCCCCATCGGCAAGGCCCGCATGGAGCCGCCCTTCCCCCTGCCCGTGTCCGTACCCCGCTCATACGTGCCGTGGCACCGCAGGGAGCCCCCTCCTCCTTCGTCCCACCTTCTCTGCGGTACTCACACGTGCATATGGTTGGGCGGTTCCCGCGCCATGGTGTTCTTGGAACGTTTGCTAGATTTTCACATGCTGGCCCTTTGTGCCTTCCGAAAGCCCAAGGCGGCTCAACAGGTCCCCGAGAGAGCTGCAAGGCAGCTCAACAGGGTACCAAAAGCGCCCAGGGACTTCGCAAGGGAGCTCCAAGACGGGCCACGAGGCCCCAAGGCTGCCCCAGGGGGGCCGAGACGGCTTCATATGCACCCATGACGGCCCAGCAGGCCCCAAGAAAGCCCCAAGAGGGGTCAAAGAGGGGGAAACTGAGCTGGCCTTGACAACCTTTTCCTGCAGGATTGCCTCCAAGACTCCTGGCATGACCCCCAGAGGCCAGTAAACAAGGCCCCAAGACGCCCCCCAGAGGCTCCCGAGAAGCCTGAGAGACCCCACAGAGGTCTCCCAGAGGTCTCCCTACAGACCACAGAGGGTCTCCCAAACTGACCTACAAGGCTCCCGAGAGGCCCTCAGGAGGCCCCAGAGAAGTTACTTGCCACCTCGTTAACTCAACCCCCTTCCCGCTGCGATGCTGCGATCCTGGGATTGCCGCAGGCAGCTCGATGTTCATAATTGTGACGTACGAGAGCAACACGAAACACAGGAAGAGGATCGCGAACATGGGGTGAACCGACGACAACTCCCTGTACGTGTCCGCGATGTCAGGGACCACGCCGCCCAAGAGCAGCGTGACCATCGTCGTGGCGACGTCGCTGCACACAGTGTCTTCCAGGATGCTTTCCTTGGCCAGCTGCGTGAACAGGATTGCGAACACGTAAATGATGAGGACCAGCACGCACGCGATCAGGAACACCGTGCGCGCGACAACCACGACACCCCTCACGATGACCAGAAGCTCTGGGACGACCTTGAGCAAACGCCCGAGCCGCGCCGCGCGCGTCAGCCGGAACACGCGCACGACCCGGAGCGCGTTTGTGCTGCCGGCGCCCCTGGTGCCCCCGCCGATGAGCGCGAAGAGCAGCGTGAGAAGCCACGTCTCCAGCACCATCAGAGCGACCAGCACGGTGTCGATCAGGAACCAGGTGTCCCTGAAACCGCCGAGCTTGTTCTCGAACGCGCCGAAGCGGATGAGCCACTCCAGGGTGAAGATGGCGCAGAAGAGGTGCTCCACGACCTGGAAGCCGGGGTCGGCGTCCGACAGGATCGGCTCGTCGTTGTGGTCCGTCTCGACGGCGAGCCATATTGCGTTGAGAACGACCACCATCATACCACCGAAAGCGAAGAAGTCGCTCCTCGCGACCGCCTGGCAAATGCCTGTCTCCTTGTACAGCGTCGCGACGTCGTACTCCGGCTCCAGTAGGTTCTCGCGCACCTTCTTCTTCATCGCCTCTCGGGTCGGACGAAACGGGGGGATCAATAAAGAGGGTCAGCGCAACAGCTCTCGCACCGCGTTTTCCCAGCGCCTCTCGGCGCCGGGGGCGCCAGTGCATCGAGGAAAGAGCCCCGCAGCGGGGCCGAAACCAGCTGCACGCAGCAAATTTCGTAGTCCTCCTTTCCCGATGCCCTTCCTTCGTGCGCCCTGAGCGATTCCCGTCGGCCAGTCTTCGGACCACAACTCGGGTCTTCGGCGGCCATTCGGAACGGTCTGCGCACCGCACCCCTGGAGCGCTCGCGGTGAGGCGCAGGAAGCACCCCTGGGCCAATAAACCGCCGAGAATCGACCAAAACGGAAAAAAATCAAACACCCACTCGCCATCGCTCGGACGTCCATTCCCCGTATATTTTTGGGTTTCGTGCGTGTTTTTTTCGCAAGATGCTCCGAGGTTCTCACGTCCGAGCGATGCCAAACCAAGGAACCTCCCAAATCCCCCCTCGTCTGCCCAGGGCCTCGGAGTCCGCGAAGACGTTGACGCTCCTCCTGCCCTGGAAGCGCTGCCGGTTCGGATTCGGGCCCCTTCTCTCCTGCAGCGACCGCAAGTCCTTCGGGGAAGCAAGACCTGCCATCGCTCGGACGTCCATTCCCTGTGCAGTTTTCGGTTTCGTGCGCGTTTTTTCCGCAAGATGATCCAAGATGCTCTTCGATGGTCCTCGCCCAGAAAATACACACTTGCGAGCAATGCCAAGAAAATGCGGTCGGGAACTTCGCCGCGGCGGCCCTAGCGACACGCTATGCTTTGCGAATGGATCGCGTGTCACTCCGCTCCGCGGGGCGGGAGGCTCGGAAAGTCTCGGGACGTTGACGCTTGGGGGCCGGGAAGTGGATAGCGTGTCGCGCCGCAGCGTAGTGGGCCAGAACCGTCGGATCGACACGCTGTTCAAAAGCTCCCGACCGTAGAATACTCGCACTGCCACCCCACGCACCTCTCCTGGGGTGCGTTCTGGCGAAGGACGGGTCGCGGTATCGGTCCGATTTCCTCTTCTGATCCTCGCAAGTGCCGTAGTGACGACGGAATGGATACGATATCGGTATGTACCTTCTCCTCCTCCCATCTTGGAAGCAGCCGGGGGGTCTGCGAAAACATCGGCCACGAGGGGGGGATAAAGCCAAATCTGCTCAACTTCGGTCCCTGGACCCCGCACGGGGTCCATCTGGTGTTTTTCTTGTTCACCCCGGATCCTTTTATTGTCGGCCCCGGGGTCCGAGAACGGCCCCTGGAGGCTGAAGGAGGGAAACCAACTTGTGAAGCCCATAATATCTCGGACCTCGCCCCCCGTCCTGCTTGCCAGAATTAGTGCTGGGCCACCTCAGACCCCTCGGCAGGGCGGGGTCCGTTGCGCTCTCCAGTTGCTGCGGAGGCACTCCCGCCCAGATTGCGTCTGCCACCCGCCCACGGACGAACTCGCTGCGCGGCTACCACGAGGTGGTGCTACACACTGAGCCGTTGGCCACATGGGGAGCCCGCCTCAAGAACGATTCTGAACCCTTCAATCGGCTCCTCCTCACACCCCCTGACATCATCCGATCTGTTTTTTTCGATTCGCGGCCCGAGAAGTTCCGACCCCTTCTCCGGGGGTAGCTTTGCGCCCAAGATCAGTCTTTCATGGTCCCCGTGCCCGATCACGGGTCCCAAAGGCCGAAATCGAGGAGATCCGCCCGGATTGAGAAAATGGAATCGTCGGAGATCGAAGTCGGATCCGCCGAGAGGAGAAGCGGCTGAAGGAGTTGGCGGCGCGCAAATTGGGGTGGCACGAGGGGGGTGGCCTTCTGAGAAGGCGGCGCTTCTCATAAGGCAGGGGCCTTCTTACAAGGTCGGGGTCTTCTTCAGGAACTCCGCCCGGATTGAATACGGTCGGACCTAGGACTGAACAACTTCCTTCAAGAACATGAGGCTCTCCACCAGCCAAAACACACAGAACAGCCAAGGCCCCCCCCCAAGACGCACAAGAGCATCCAACAGGCACGAAGAGCATCAGGTAACCCTCCCCGAAGCGATCTCGATCTTATGCCTCGGTCCGACCGCAAATCAGGTCGTCGGAGATCTGGGCCCGTCCTCTTCCTCCGAAGTTCTCGCCCAGGAGGAGGAGGAGGCCCGTCCTCCTCCTCGGAGGTCCTCGCAGGTGCCCTGCGCAGCGGGCCTCGCGCGAGGCACGGCGTCGTGCGACCTCTGTCGCGAGAGCGCCTCGGCGCGCGGCGGCGGCGGCCGGGGCGCCGCCGCCCGCGAAGGAGGCGGGCCGCCCGCGAGGGCGCCGCCGAAGAGCGCCGAGCCTGACCAGACTTGGGCTTCCGCGTGTCCTCTTCCCCCCTCCTGCTCCATTCCTTTTCCTTATAAGTAGCTCCTTCCTGTCGCGCCCCGGGGCCAGTCGAAAGGGCAGGCTGGGCGTTTCGTCTGAGACATCCTCACCTTTTATGACCCTGATGCTTAAACATTGACAACCATTTCACGGACGGATGACGGATGGTTTTCAAACTTTAACTGTCGCCTTAGCGCCGCGAGCACTCGCTTTAAAATGTTGCAAGGAGCTTCGCGGATTGAGGGTGAATGGTTTCCAACATGTGGCTCTCGCCTTAGCGCCGGACACATCTGTTTTAACAAGGAGCTTCACATATTGAAGGCGGGCTGTCGAAATGTGGCTTTCGCCTGAGCGCCGCGCACTTCGTGGGCCCTGGAAACGACAAGGCCTTTTTTTTCACCCGTTCCGTTTTGCCGTTTTCTGCCTTCCGACGCCGTTCTTGTTCCCCGTTCCGTCGCCGTTGTTTTACCGGTTCTGGCTCCGGTTTCAATCCTGGGGTAGTTTTTTTGGCCGTTTCCGGTCGCCGTTTTCGTGCCGTTTCCATCATCGAGAGATCTTTTCGGAAGCGGTGAAAAAAAACTACCCTGCCGTTTCCGGGCCCACGAAGGCTGCGCACATTCGTTCTGGAACAACTTGCAAAGAGCTTCGCGGATGGAGGGTGGGTCGTTTTCAAAATGTGGCTCCCGCCCTAGCGCCGCGCACACTCTTTCTAAACAATTGCAAGGAGTTTCACGGATTGAGGGCGGGTAGTTTTCAAACTGTGGCTCCCGCGCACACTCGTTGCAAAACATTGCAAGAATTTCACGTGTTGAGGGCGGCTCGATTTTAAAAGTGCGCCTCTCGCCTAAGCGCAGCGCACACTCGTGGTTAACATGGCAAGATATTGAAATGGTTCTCCAGGCTAACGCACGAGGAACGATGTTTTGGAGCGATTCAGGACTGTCAGGGCGCAATAGTTACGTTGATTCGCGGTGTTGAAGTCCCAGGAATGGCGTTTTGGCGCGATTCAGGATCGCCAAGGCGTAACAGTCAGGCAAACCCTTGGCGTTAAAATCATTAGAATGGTGTTTTGGCACGCTCCAAGATGTTCAGACGGGTATCCCAACAGGGCAATTCCCTCAGTGGAAATGACCCCTTGTAGGGGCTGATGAGGAGGGATCTTGGAGGGGCGGTGTATTCCAGAATCGTTGATGAGTCTTGCGTTTGCACTGGTCCTCCTCCTCCTCCTCCTACTCCTCCTCCTCCTCCTCCTCTAGCTGCCACCTGGGCCTAAGATATTGTCAGGGCAGCCCAGACCGCGACCATGCTATTCCACAGTCCGAGCGGACAGAAGGGGTGACGGCCCGCATGATGGCGGCTCTCACAGCGTCTCTCGCAGTGCTCCTCTTCAACCCGCTCGCGGCAAAGTCCGACAGGCTGGCAGAGATATACGAGGAGGCTCACAATTTTGACATAATCGTGCTGACTGGGACTTCCCGCAGAAGATGCGACCCCAGCATCACGCAGAACCGCAGCGCCGACGCCCGCTTTTACGAGGCAGGATGGCAGCCTGGCGACCTGACTAACCGCAGCACGGGCATCACCATAGCTCTGCAGGGTCGACTGCGGGGCGCCAAGGTGACAGAATTACGCGAACCACCACAGGAACTCAGCGGAAGAGGACTCGCGATCACAATGCAGCACCACGATCAGACAATGCTGATCATCGGCTACTACTGCCCCCCGCAGCCCACCAAGGGCAAGACGTCGAGCAAGGACTACGATGCTACGACCAGCCGCCTGTTCGCTTGGATAGAGGATATCAGCCAGAGGAAGCACCGCAATACGATGCTCATCGTTGCAGGCGACCTCAACGACGGAGTGGGCATCACGGACAAGGGCGACAGGCCGGAGACATCAGCACTTGGAGAAGGGCGATCACCAGAACGATTACCAGGAGGCACAGGGCAGAAAGCAGGGAACTATGCGGACCGCCACCAACTCAGCATACGTGAATGCCATCGGCAGCTGGCGGCCCACGTACTTCGGCGAGAAACACGTTAGCTGCATAGACTATATCATGATACCGCAGAGCATGACGGAAGCGATGATCTCACAGGGACCCCTACTTCACATGGGAGCACGCCTTCAACGCATTCGTTGCCGAGCACGACGGGACCACGTTCCAGTGCGCGTGACGTTTCGCCTACCACTACGACAAAGAGTACAACATCGACCCCAGATGCCAAAGTGGGACAAGGACAGCTTGGCCCACGCAGCGCGCCACGGACTTCATAGAGGGGAGTTCATGTTCATAGAGCAGGTGGAACGGGCCATGCAAGATTATGACCCAGCAGGCGAAGGAGTGGACCAGCTCTTCCAGGACATCAACACCATGCTCATCGAGAAGACGCAGAGGTTCTACAGCAAGGCACCGACGCCGACGGACGAGTACGAGGAACTACGCCGTGAACGCATGCAACTCCTCCGAGATCGCAGAGCAGCCAGAGCTGAACGTCATGACCTCCGCGCAGCAACCACAGAGGCTGTTCGCGCGCCTGCGACCGCGTCGTCGCTACCCCCGTTTTGCACGGACGAGCTCGAACCCAGGGGCTCTCCCGCGACGGCGACCCCGGACCTGGGAAACGCAGAAGGAAACCCATGCGCCTGAGAGGAACCAACGCCACCCACCGAGACGGAACAGCGCGTGCGCAGGATCGAGACGCAGCTCCGAGACATCACTCGGACCTGCCAACTACAACGACGACGGGCGCAGCAACACCGCACCGACCTCCGCGTGGAGGAGCTGTACGAGGCGTGGGAACAACGCGACCTAGCACGGGTCGGACGACTCCCCCACCTGATTGCAGGAGGACGGTGCGGACCACGCAAGAGGGGCTACTGGGCGGCGACGACGGCAAACCCAACCAAACAGGAGTGGATAGAGTTCTGGCAACTTCCAGGAGGCTCTGGAAGCATGGAGGGGACTGAGCAGGACACGCAACACCTGGAGGCCATCCAACACCACGCGGAAGAACATGATTACTACGAGAACGACTCAGAGGAGAAGACCGAGAAGGATTACAGCGAGAACGCGAAGTGCATCAAACGCGCACGCCTCCGACGAGCAGCACCACCCACAGCGGCGCCAGCAGAAGTATGGCGACTACTGCTTTACCCGCCAGACCGAGACCGACAACCACGCCGGCGACGCGGACTCGGACACCAAGCATGCGACGAATAACCAGTTCTATTTCAAGCTCTAATCAAGGCGGCACTGGCAGCGATACGCATCAGCAACGTGGCACCAGTGCGCTGGCATCAGAGCACGGCGACAGCAGTCAAGAAGAACGCGAAGAAGGGCCCTGCAGGCAAGAGGATCTACCGCATCATGGACCCGATCGGCAGGGCGCATTACGCGGCGGCGCCACGCCGACAGCAGAAG